CTATGGGACAGGGGGTGGGGGAAAGAACACTGGGACAGGTGAGGGGAGGAAAGAACACTGGGACAGGTGAGGGGAGAAAAGAACACTATGGGACAGAGGATGGGAGAAAAGAACACTATGGGACTGGGAAGAAGGGGAGAAAAGAACACTATGGGCCTGGGGAGGAGGGAGGAAAGAACACTAAAAAAGAGGGAGGGGAGAGGAACATTAAGCCAGGGGGGGAAGGATTCATATTAAATTCATTAAAAAGTCTAATATTAATAAAATTATAGGAAAAAAAACCTTTTTTTAAATCATATGGGGAAAAAGGTCATTTTCAGTTTCGGGTTTCGGCCCAGAATTTTCATTTCAGTGCATTCCTACTCAGCAGCTTTTTCAATCCTGACATAATAGCATCCTGTTCTGTATGGGTAATCGCTTAGACTCATCAGAACTCTTTAACAACTTCCAGATAAATTCCCTTTTTTTGCATATTTACAAATTCATACATACATTCAAATGGGCTTGTCATACCTAAAAGCCAATGACTGGACTGACTAGACTACATTTTTTTGGATGGTTCCCGACCTCACTGTTCAAGTTACTATATGGTTATATTCAAACAATCTTAGGTCAGTCTGTATCTACTAGTCTTATTGCCAAGTGCACAAAATAATTTTTTCCACTGATGGCATTCTCACTATGACAAACACATTGCAAATTGTTATATTGTTCCCAGTTCCTTTGTAGCAAGAGATGGATTATAAAGCTACCTAGCTTCTTACTCCCTATCCTGAATGCAATTAACTGAATCCCCACATGCCTTTTGGGAATTGTTCTCAAATAAACAAATTTTGCAAAAGAAATATAAACTAGTATTGAACCTCTTTTACACCCTTTGGTGTCGCTGTCCCCGGAGTTGAATATTATTGGTATTTTTTTATATATATATTAACACAAATAGCTCTAATGGTCCTGGCAGGAGCCAGAAAACAAAATCCTGCATTGGATTTCATTCAATAAATGGTATTGTGTCACAGTAAATTTCTTTATGTATTTATATTGGACTGAGTTAAATCCTTCCAAAGTAAAGAATGTACATTATCCCAATTTTTTACATACTTATATACACACTCTTGATCCTTAACTTAAAGGACCACTATAGTGCCAGGAAAACATACTCGTTTTCCTGGCACTATAGTGCCCTGAGGGTGCCCCCACCCTCAGGGACCCCCTCCCGCCCGGCTCTGGAAGGGGGAAAGGGTTAAAAACTTACCTTTTTCCAACGCTGGGCGGGGAGCTCTCCTCCACCGATCCTCCTCCTCTCCTCCCCGTCGGCTGAATGCGCACGCGCGGCAAGAGCTGCGCGCACATTCAGCCGGTCGCATAGGAAAGCATTATCAATGCTTTCCTATGGACGCTTGCGTGCTCTCACTGTGAGAATCACGCAAGCGCCTCTAGCGGCTGACAATGAGACAGCCACTAGAGGATTTGGGGGAAGGCTTAACCCATTCATAAACATAGCAGTTTCTCTGAAACTGCTATGTTTATAAAAGAATGGGTTAACCCTAGAAGGACCTGGCACCCAGACTACTTCATTAAGCTGAAGTGGTCTGGGTGCCTAGAGTGGTCCTTTAAAGCTCTTAGTTGTAAAAATTTCACTACCTGGTACTCTACAAATCTTTTGTGGGAGATTTTCACTTTAATATGATTATTTATCAATTATATATATATAAATATATATATATTTTTTTTTCCTTCTTTATATTTTATTTAAAACCAACCTTATTAAAGGAACACTAGAGCCTTACCAATACAAAGCTGCATTCCTAGCGATATAGTGTCCTAGTGCACGATTAGTTTTAGTTTTCCCCCTCCCTCGTTTTTCCAGTAGCTTGTAATGTACTTCGGTGTTTAGAAGGTCCATAGACTCTAGCTTAATCATCAAAATGCTTCAAATCTGATGAAAATATTAAACAGTGTTAAATTTGGTGGCAAATTTCAATGTACTTTTAGTCATAGTATTTTGATTAAATAGCCATTTTAATTTTAGTGGTATTAGTGGTATTTTAGTCATTCAGTAGATTTCAGTCGACACAACTAAAATCAAATGGGTTTAATTAATGCCTCTTTCTCTTTTGCCCCTTTTCCAGCCCCTATGTGGCTCTTTTCCCCTCCCTCCCCCCGCCAGCCCCTCCGTGTGTCTCTTTCTCTCAGCATCTTGTCTCTTTCTCCTCCAGCACCTCTGTCGCTTTGTGTCCCTCCCAGGCCCTCCATGTATCTAATCTCCCCCACGTGTCTCATGTCCCCCAGCTGCCCATCTGTCTCATTTCCTCCCTCAGCCCCTCAACGTATCTTATTCCCCTCAACCCCCCCCCCATGTACTCATTCCCCCCTAGTTGCTCCATGTGTCTCATTCCCCCAGCCCCCTCATGTGTCTCAATCCTCAAGCCCCCCATTGTCTCATTTCATCTCCTCCCTTCCCCATTTCCACTAATTTGGCTGCAAATTTCAATTTAGTTTTAGTCATAATCTTTTGACTAAAAGCCATTTTGGTTCTATTCATCTGAATTGTTTTAGTCAACTAAAGTCTGACTAAAATTGTTTGTCTACAAATTTAACACTAATATGAAGTGAGTAGACCGTATTTTTGGTGTTCAGATAAAACATGTCTATTTGGCACTACAGTCCGGCCCCGTTCCCATAACTTAATTTTTTTTTTTTAAGCATTAAGCAAAAATATTTTTTAAAAAGCATTCATTTAATATTTTATTCAGGTATAATATGTGATCCATACATTTAGGGTGTCAGAAAAAAAAAACCCTACCTGTCCTTTAAAAATAAATAAATAAATAAATATTTCACATTACATAGTTACATAGCTCAAAAGAGACATGTGTCCATCAAGTTCTGCCTTTCTCACATCTGCTTTTTGCTGTTGATTTAAAAGAAGGCAAAAACCCTTTCCGATTTTGCAACAAACTAGAAAAAAAATCACTTCACCTCAAAATGGAACAAGAAGCTATTATCCCACATATGAAAATTTATATCCCTGAATATTATGTTTTTGCAAGTATTCACCCAGTTACTGTTTAAACATCTTTACATATTCTGATAAAACCACCTCTTCAGGCAGAGAATTCCACATCCTTATTTTTTTCTGTAAAAAAAAATAAAAAATCTTTCCTTTGCCTTATACTAAGTCCTCTTTCTTTCAGTATAAATGTGAGCTTGTGTCCTATTTATGAATATATTTCCAATCTATGATTTGTTTGAATATGTTTTTTTGATATATATACTATATATAATAAATATATCATATGTATGGTATACTTAAAGAAAGAAAGAATTAGATTACAATGGAAAACATAACAAAAGTGCCAAAAAAAATCCAAACTTTTTAAAGTGTATTCTGCACATCTTGGAAAAAATGCCACAGTCCCAAATGCACATAATTTAGGAAAAAGCTCAATCATGGAAGGGTTAATTAAGCACATTTCCAGGTGTTGTGGCTTGGCTAAAAACACGAGTGTTACCTGGTTGCAGCAAGTTGTTGAACGAATAGCAAGATCCCAAATGCTGGCATACAGAAGGACCACATATGTGGAGATAATTGGACACATATGGTGCCCAGCCGTGAACTATTTTGTAACATGTTCACCTATGAAAGTTAGTAAAATTGCACTATACATCTGGTCTTACAAAGTGTTCTCAGTGCGCTGTACTATGACTCGTTTAGAATGTTTATAAAAAGAATATAGTCTGCAGGATTTCTTTGGAACAGAAAATAGTCAGGATAGTGGTTATTTTGGCCTGACGTTTGCAAATATGAGTGGTTATTCACTGAAAAAGTGAACTGAAGTAATTTGAAAAACAAATTGCAAAATGCAAGCTAAAAAGTCCAAGACATCACTGTAGTAGAGTTGATTTATTTTTCAAACTCAATAGCTTTGCAATGTAGTTTTAACATACTACAATTCACTGTTTTGTGAATAAATCTCTATGCTCAATTTACTACAGTATACTGTAGTATTTTACTTATTTGTGTATACACTATGAATGAGTTATCTGAATTGTATAAAAAATAAAATTCTGCTATCTTTTTTTGCAAACTGTACAAATGTATTTCTTGTTCCATAATTTAAGCTATTTTTGGAGAAATTAACAGAGGCAATATTATGGAACAATATTGTTGAATGGGTAAGGCAGTGGCTGAGTGACAGGCAACAGAGGGTTGTAGTCAATGGAGTATATTCACAGCATGGTCTTGTCACCAGTGGGGTACCTCCGGAATCTGTACTTGGAACCATTCTCTTTAATATTTGTATCAGTGATATTGCAGAAGGTCTTGATGGTAAAATATGTCTTTTTGCTGATGATACTAAGAACGGAGAGCAACTAGAAGTCCCGTAGGAAAGCATTGAAAATGCTTTTCAATGCTTTTCTATGGGGAAATGAGCGACGCTGGAGGTCCTCACACAGCGTGAGGACGTCCAGCGACGCTCTAGCACAGGTTTTTCTGTGCTATTATCCAGGAAGTGCCCTCTAGTGGCTGTCTAGTAGACAGCCACTAGAGGTGGAGTTAACCCTGCAAGGTAATTATTGCAATTTATAAAAAACTGCAATAATTACAGTTGCAGGGTTAAGAGTAGTGCGAGTTGGCACCCAGACCATTCCAATGGGCAGAAGTGGTCTGGGTGTCCCTTTAAAGGTAGGCGGACAATGTAATAGAGCAGCAGGAAATGCTAGCAGAAAGCTTGGTTGTATAGGGAGAGGTACTAGCAGTAGAAAGAGGGAAGTGCTCATGCCATTGTACAGAACATTGGCGAGACCTCACTTGGAGTATTGTACACAGTACTGGAGACCGTATCTTCAGAAGGATATTGATACTTTAGAGAGAGTTCAAAGAAGGGCTACTAAACTGGTTTATGGATTGCAGGATAAAACTTACCAGGAAAGGTTAAAGGATCTTAACATGTATAGCTTGGAGGAAAGATGAAACAGGGGATATGATAGAAACATTTAAATACATAAAGGGAATCAACACAGTAAGGGAGGAGACTATTTTTAAAAGAAGAAAACCTACCACAACAAGAGGACATAGTCTTAAATTAGAGGGGCAAAGGTTTAAAAATAATATAAGGAAGTATTACATTACTGAGAGGGTAGTGGATGCATGTAATAGCCTTCCAGCTGAAGTGATAGAGGTTAACACAGTGAAGGAGTTTAAGCATGCTCGGGATAGGCATCCTAGCTATAAGATACCGCCAGGGAATAATTAAAGTATTTAGAAAAGTAGGCAGACTAGATGAGCCAAATGGTTCTTATCTGCCATCACATTCTATGTTTTCTAACATGAAGAATTCAGAACAATGTAATAAGAATAAACAGGGATTTGCTATTTGCAGAACTGTATCTAAATTGTGTTCAAAGTTTTTAACTCATATTCACTAAAGTGAGAATTCACTGAAATTTGAATTGAATTCAAAGTAAATTTCAAACTTTAGACCAATAGCTAGACTGTAAGCATAGCTGATTTGACAAACTGCCTTTTGTCACTGGCTTTTTATGTGACAAACTACCCTTTGCCCCTGGCTTTTGGAGGAGCCTGATTGCCAGCCTCCTGTCTCATGACTATGGCCCTAGGGTGTATTGCCCTTTAAGAACCTTATTGGAGCATATTGAGTCTTGGAACAATGCCCCTTTGTTTAAACTGTGTCCACACACTGTAAAAATACTTGTTTGTGTCCTTTTTCCCATATGGTTCGTTAAATGGGGTTTACCGAACAAATTACCGAACAGGCGGACCACACACAAGTGGAGTGTGCGGCCAGTTTACCTCCCAGGCTGGTGGTTAACCGCAAGTTAATTGTCGAACGCTGGGTGGCCGCCGTTCATATAGTCGAACACGTGGCGGCGCCCATCTTGTTTAGTCGACCGCGGTCAGCGGTGTTTTGCCATCGAGCTCATGGAACTGAAATCGGATATACGACGACACGAACACCACTGACCCTTACCTTCTTTGCCACCTCGACATTACAACGGAAATTGAAGTGCGTTCGACTACTTGAACACCACGTTAAAATGGGATATTTGTACGAACGGCGCCTGTTCGTGCATTCGAATGGAAGTAAGTATTTTTTCTATGTGAAATAGTCCGACCGCAGATCCTAAATCTATGGAACTCTTTTGGGCAGGAAAGCCGTGCTTGCGGTCGGTCAAATAGGACTTCCAACTATCTTTTGAACCAATGGGCCAAATCGAATGATTTTTAAATATGTTTGTGCACTGATTATGCTGGTTCAGAAGATATAACTTTATGGAAATTGCATGTATGGTTTGGAAGTTATGAATATTGTACATAACTGTATATTTTCTGCCTGTGATAATTAGCTTAGCCCATTGTGTTCAGTAATTATATCACAGGCAGAGGGGAGGCTTTGTGTGCCTTAGCTGGGAGTGTCTGACTGTACTGTAATGTGTTGATTGGCTGTTGTAACCCTGTGTCCTGTGTACCACAAGGTCCACGTGGGTGGTAACCTTGTGAAAAAATGTGTATAAAAGAAAGTCCTGTGTGCTCATTAAAACAGTTCTACTTGACCCTCAACTCGCAGCCTTGACTCGTGTTTGGAGGGAACAGCTATAATCACTACAGGGATTGCTATGCTCTGCATACTCCCTTAGCTTCACTGAGCTCTTGTAAGAGCTTGTTCCTGTTCCTGCTTTGCTCTCTGGGAGGAAGAGAGGTTCACCCACTGGAACCTGGAGCCTTGTCGTAGGTCCAGGGTTATGGTGTCTGGTGCGATGCTGATGGTCCTTGGTGAGCGCTAAGAGCATCCTTTCTACGGTTCTACTTTCAGATAGCCTGGAGGCAACCGTAACAGCTGACTTAAATGACATTTCCAATTCTGTTATTTAAAGGGATATTCTAAGCACCAAAACAACTTTTTAGCTTAATGAAGCAATTTTGGTGTATAAATATTTTTTTCAGTCTCACTGCTTAGTTCTCTGCCATTTAGGAGTTAAATCACTTTTGTTTTTGTTCATGCAGCCCTTGCCACACCCCCCCTGGCTGTGACTCATACAGCCATCACGAAACAAATTGTTTTGTTTTCAATCAGATCTTACAGCATAGTGTGTTTGCATTAGAAGTTTATCCTGCTCTTTTGGTTAATGTAGCATTTATGGGGATATTCACTAAACCATAGCTTGTTGGAAATTGAGCAGGGAATTGTAGGCCAAAATATGCAAACTAGAAAAAATCTTTAAAGGGATACTCCAAGCACCCAGACCACTTCTGCACATTGGAGTTGTCTGGGTGCCAACTCCCACTACTCTTAACCCTGCAAGTGTAATTATTGCAGTTTTTTATAAACTGCAATAATTACCTTGCAGGGTTTACTCCATCTCTAGTGGGCACTTCCTGGATTATAGCACAGAAAACCTGTGCTAGAGCGTCGCTCAATTCCCCATAGGAAAGCATTGAAAAGCATTGCCGCGTATGCGCATTAGGTCTCCCCGGCCGGTGGGCGGGGATCAGTCTCGCCCACCGGCCAACGTAATACAGAGGAAGAGTGGCGGCGGAGGAAGAAGCAGCGACGTGGGACATGTCGCTTCTTCTGGTAAGTTACTGAAGGGGTTTTTACCCCTTCAGCAACCGGGGATTGGGGGGTGGGAGGGAGAGGGGACCTGCAGTGCCAGGAAAATGGATTGTTTTCTTGGCAGATGGAGTTTCCCTTTAAGTAAGCT